TGCGCAAGGTGTGCGTTATGCAAGATCAATTTGTGAAGGTGACGTTTGCGAGCTTGCATCGTCACTTCGACGCGCGCGTCTAAATCATTTTATTCTCGTTAACATCTCGTTTTTCTCTTTTTTTTTTTTGCTTTTTTTTTACTTACTTGTAAAGATCCACGTACAGTCGCGCGATAAATCGATATTCTTAGACGCTAATCGCTTTACGCGACTTTCCTGTCGATAATAGACCACATGTTTGAATGAGCGCAAAAGTTTTGATGAATGTCGCGATAGGAAAATAGATCGAGTAATTTTGTTAAAAACAATTTATTTATTTATTTTATCTCGTACACACAACAGCGAAGATATAATAACAATAACAATGAGAATTAATTGGTAGAATGAATAAATTGTTTTTAAATAAAAATCACTTGGTTTCGTGTTTCTATTGCGAAATTCGTCAAAACTTTTGCACTCATCCAATACATGAATGACAATCAGTTAATTTGCATCGTCTCTTCAACGAAAACCAGTTCGTTCCAGAACTCGTTTGTCCCTTTTAACGCGCGAGAACTATAAATCAGTAACATACTCTACTAATACTTTATGGGATACAGTTCCGAGATATTGTCTCGCGTTTAATGCGGCCGTCGCGCGGCATGAATTTGTGGCGTAATTTATTCATAACACACCGGTATTCGGTAGCATTACGCCTGTCATGTATACAATCCATTACGAATTAGAATTTCTTCCCGCTATATAAACACACATGTAAAGTTTGTTTTTTTTTTTTATGTTGTGTGTTTACGCACGAAAATGTGATGCGTGACAAATTTACGGTTCGTAAGAATCTGTGATGCTTTATTATTCTGTTTTATTTTATCGAGAAAGTATTCTGTATTTTTTGGTGATTACTTTATTGTTTATTTTATTTTCTTAGAATATTGTAAAGAATCTCACTTTTTTTTCAACCGCAGCTCCGTTTTTTTTTAAAACGTGCAAGTTTTATTCGATGCGTAATAACGTATCGTTGTCGAGATATCGTACATATTGTGCGTACTACTGGCACAATCATTTTCTGACATTGTTTTCTCTGTGCGAGCGTCAAGCATCAAACCGGATCGATTTACGGTATTCCCCGAGTTGGCGTAATCACGTCCCGAGATTGATACAAGCAAACGCGGATAACGCGACGTGTAATTCGCGCCGTTCTCGCAACGGCCGATTTTCAATGCGCCGTTGATAGAGCGTCTAATTCTCCCGGTGTCTCTCTCGCTCGATGCAACGTCCGAATTTCGAGCGCATTTGTCAACTTTTTGTTTTGCCGAACAACCGATGCGGCATCTCGCACGCTGCTAGATGAAAGGATCTGTAATTAATGTTCGCGCGCGCGGAACAGCGACCGTTTCGCGAAAAGCCGGCGAAAATAATTATCCGCGGGAACTCGTGATCATAAATTCGCGTGATTTTCGAGTTTAATATCTTCATCAATCACGACGATGTATTTTGGAACGGGGCTTTTATCCTCTTTTTGCCACCTTTGTGCGGAGTATTTTAACACATTTCTATATTGGATATTGATACAATAAAAAATGGTTTTTATGCTAGACGTTAACATGCGCGCTCGCTATAATGACGTGGAATACGGGGAAGGAATTTTGGAAGGGAAATTTTTGTATTTATTTCGCAGGTTTTTGTTGCTGACGTGATGAAAACTACTGGTTTGAACAGATTCGTTAAATTTTCGTGCCATTCCACGCGCACATGTGTGTTGTAATTTAGCAAATTTCTGAATTACACGCGTAGACGCGTAATTTAGTTCAGAAATTAATTGAATTGAATGTATGCTCTCTCGTGATGACGCAAAACCAAATTATGTTCAAATTATTTCAAATAGACAGGATATAAACTGAATTAGTATTCATTAGATTGTTAATGAAAATGATTAATACGCCAGGAACAAAAATTTTCCACCTACGACTAATTGAAACATCTCTGACGTGGCGGCGAAATCGATTTCGCCTTTTTTGTTTTATTGTTTCAGAAAAACATTTCCGTGATTCATACCCGCGTCACTTTACATTCGCGAAGAGTTCGTGGTTGTTTTTTGTTTTTCGCGCGGAATTGTTTTTCGCTTTTATTAATCTCTCCGATAAATAAAAACATGAGAATGTCACGGGTGGCATATAACTCGCGGCGGCCGCCTAAAGAATTTATATTTTTATATTTGCAATTTTGCGCACGCTCGAGTTGCTCCGTCTTCCGCTTCATTTCTGATACACCAGCAACAAACACACACAGAGCAACAACTGCATGAGACAACGGTGTGTGATCCTCTTGTAATCCCAGCTGCGCTTGATGCAGAGCAGCTACGGCGACACGACGGACGGTGTTGTCGCTAGAAATAACAATATCGGATTTTGCCGTTCTGTAGCCGTCATAGCGTCTTCCGATCTAAATAATATTCTGAATTATGACGGCATCTCCGCGCGCCTGCTGAAATCTATTTTCGACACACATTTTCCACGCTCTCGCCGAAGAATACTTTCCTCTTCCGTCTCTTTAATTACTCGCGGCACTTACGAGGATGTAATCTCACTATTAGCGATGTTAGTACTTCGCGATAGGCGCTTAAATTGATGCGTTGATCAAGGTTTTCGGACGAATATATTTGTTGACCTTTATTTTTATGAGATTTTTCAGCCGTCTAAAAATAATATGGAACAAAAACGCGTTAATTTCCATTAGCGCGATCCAGTTTTGGAGCTGCGCCGTTTCTCCCGACCCAAGCCGGACGGAGGGGGGAGGCAGAGAGAATAATTTTACTCGCAAAACATTGAAGGGGAGAGCGCACAAACGTCAAACCACTTGACCCGTTACGTAAAAGCAAATCGAAATTGCGAATTTTTTTTCTCTCTTTCTCTCTCGCTCGCGGAGATTCCAGCAAGCGCGGCAGCATGGCGTTAATCACGACGGTGCATGGCAAAGCGCCATCGTTAATCATGCCAAGTACACATATTTGCGACACGCATGTGCCGCAGACACACACAATTATACACACACACGATACGAACATCTCTCTATCTCTCATTTTCCGCGCTCCCGCGTGTATTTGCACGTTGAGTGGAAATTCTTCGTACCGAGAGAGCGCTCCGGGTTTATTGTACTGCAATTGATCTATTGTTTTGGCAGCTCTTCGCCGGATTACGTTGTTTTATCACGAAGCGTGAGAAGGTCGATAAAACGTTGCATCGCGAGCGAAAAAATAAGTTTTAATTAATTGGGAAAACCGTTGCGAAAACACACACACACACATTCGTGCAGTTATATTTATCGCATTGTAAATTAGGAAAATATATTTGGACAATTGTTTAAACGAGAGTTTTATTCTTATTTAACCTTATTTTGAAGTTTATCGAACGTTTACTAAATGCTGCGCGCGCGCGACACTTATTTCATACTTATCATCAGCGTCATCGTGTTATCACAATCGTCGCAATGTTGTTGTCGGCGCAACTCGGAAGAGTTTCACATGAATGTGTTAACAAACAACTAGGTTTAATTGCAAAAACATTATTATGCAAGAGAATACAGTGATAAAGCAGACATTTATGTGAATTTGTGATTAAAATAAATGTCATCGTAATATAATAAAACAGTCTGAGTTGTTTGGACGAGCAGTTGTGCGACACGCATATTGTGATACGAGTCGCACACACAATATCGTGTAATAATTAACACAAAATTAATCGCGAGGATGTTTAACCTGCGTTTCTCGTTATCTTAATTATTGGCTCGCGTATAAGCCGAGATAAGCGCACGATGATATCTCAATTTGCACTAGATTGAGCCGCAATAGCCGTGCACGTGATATCATTAAGCTATGATTTCTATGTCATAAAAATCCTTCGTGACAACATACACACACGCGCGCGCGCGCACTTTAGTGCGCGATAGTTTCATAATATTCAAATTTAAATTTACACTAAATGCATGTACACGCGCGCGCGCGATACGTACTTTATTTATTTACTGAGACTTCTCTCGAGAGTTTAATCATAATGTATATACAAGACATGGGATTATCTGTGCGCGTTTCATTAATGTCAAACAGCAGGATCAATAGCTTGTCCAGTGTTTACCGAGTTGTGGAATCGCGTCTTTATCTTTACAAAAATACAGCTGCGTTCTACCTTGACATTTCTATTGTACTTTTTTCCAATGCTACGCATAGAGAGAAGATTATTACATAACGAAATACGATAGAAATATAGAATTAATATATATCGTCGAATATATTTCATGTAAAAAAAAAAACAAAGTTTATAATAAAATAGTGAGAAATGTATCGCGTCATACGCAACAAAAAGTACAAGGAAAACAAAGGTATTGGAACAACATAGTGGCGAATATTTAGTTTCACGTTTTTTCTTTTACTATGCTTTGGCATTTTGTGGAAGCAATTTTTCGCCTGTGATTATGCGTGCGAAAGAAAAGCTTTCTCTTTCTTCTTTTACACAACGCTTTAAAGCTACCAGACGAGGCCAGAGCTTGCCTCAATATCGACCCGTACTGGCATTTCACTCCGCCTGGACCACAGTTATTTAACGATGGTTCGCCCGCAGTATCGACATTGCATAGTTGCGAAGCCGGAGGTGTGGCCATTATATCTGAATCACATTGGAACTTCGTGTTATTATCAATATTACACGATGTAATACTCAATAATACGATTGAACTAATCACTGCGAACACAAAAAAAAAGTAAATAAATAGCGCGATGATAGATAAATGTGCGATTAATTACTTCTTATACAAAAGATATATTTTTTTATCGCGTATAATATAAAAGATAAGAACTATTATGCTTTTACGAGAGATGTTTTTTTCCCAGGTTTTTGAAGTGACTTTTTTAAATGAATATTGATGATTACTCTCTTGTTTAAAATTAAAATAACATTAACTCGTTTGCATGTTTGTCATTTCGTTTTTATTTGATTTTTATGTATTTCTTGCAGATTGGTCGACGACAGATGCGTAGTATGTCCCGAGGCGGGAGATTTAACGAATCCGCCGAAGAAATTCAGAGGTAATTTATTGTCTCAAGAAATTGAGATAAAAACATGCTTTTTAAATAAAGTCTAAATGCAACAATAAAAAATAAAAAATAAAAACAATTACAAAATTTATTCGTATAATTGTGTGTAACGATATCAATTTAAATTTTTCTAAATCATATCGCGAATAATCGAGCGAGTGTGTGATGCCGAAAAAATAACCACGATGGCAAATTGATTTTTAGATTGCCTCTTCAAAATATGTCCTATGAATCGATATTCCGCTCAAAAGCAATTTTGGAAGGCGGCGAAACAGAGCACGAGTTCGGGTACAGACGCTGGGTTGCTCAAAAGACTTCACGTAAGTTACAAAAAATATATTGCACCGTTTTGCTATAATCCACTTTTTGAAAATTACGATAAAAGTATTGTACATTTGTGTGATACTCGTAACGTTCAAGAAATAAACTGCAATGTATACTGGATGTGTGTTTCGGACGTGGAAGATATCAATCCGACAACTTCGCCGCGTTCGCTGATTATTTAATCAATATTTTTCTGATTACATATCGTTACATTTGAATGCTTAACAATGTTTCAGTCTTTAAGAGTGATTTAATAAAGTATTTGTACATTTTGACGAGAAAGCCGGTATATCTCAGAATGCTTTCGAACATTTATTATTGATAAACAGATTGTCAAAACATTTATTTTTTTTAAATGTGCAGCACTAGTGCTGAACACATTTGTTTGTGCGATTACATGCTATAATAAATTTATTTCAAAAAATGTGTTATTTAGCATGCAGCCGAGATCGAGAAAAAACAAAACGAGACTGAAAACAAGAAACTCTTAGGCAGCGTAGTTTCGTACGGTAACGTCATACAGGTAAGTAAATAAATTTTTCTGTAAAAATCTCTTCCGAGTATATGATATTTTATTTAAAAGTACATCTTGGACGCTTTATATATGCTCGAGCGCATATTCTTATAACGTAAAAGGGCTGCTAGTTACATGTATAATAATAGATTTATCAATATCGCGTTATAGGGGAGCGGTTTTCCCTCTCGTCGTCGTTTTTTTGCAGAACGATCATAAAAACCGTTTGGTACATCGTATTGGCATAGTTATCTGCCTCGTATAGAGCGCCGCGATAAGTGCTTGCTAATTAACAAGTTTTCCTTTCCGTGCCGATAATGTGTCGAAAAATAGAACCTAACTTTTATGGCGCTCGAATGTGTGTCTAAAAAAGAATTTAATTTTCTTTTTATATTAAAGCACACTGTTAAAGTTCAGAAACAGCTTTTTTGATCATTGATTAACAAAACGTCAATGCTTATAATAACGTGATGTATATATACATATATATATATATATATATATATATATATATATATATATACACATGTGCATATGCATGTATATATATACATGCATATATATATATATATATATATATATATATATATACATATATGCACATATAGTACATCTATAATATATAATATATACAGAAATTATATTCTCGATCGTAGCAGAGAGAGGTGCAGTGCATTAGGTGTTCAATTAATTTCTGCCACGAACGTACGGACTTTATTGAATTAACGAGGCACTTATCTTTCATTTTGTCGATGAACATTTTATGAGTTTTTATACACGCATATATCGATTGATGCATTATCCCAGTGTACACGTCACGTGCGTTTGACGTACAAATTTAATTACACGTGTTGTAACATTTACGTGTGTACGTGCTTGCGAAATTATACTTTAACGTAATAACTAATAACAGAAATTGGCCTGAATTACAACGCGGCAAACGTCGCGCATTTGTACGGTCAAGAGAGATTAATCGATATTGCCGGGAGCGTAAATAAATTTACACAACATTTGCGCAAATCGCGTCTTGTTATGATAATTGCGAATTTTTATATTTCGTGCGTGGCAGTTGCTGCATCTCAAGTCCAACAAATACCTGACGGTGAACAAAAGGCTTCCGGCGTTGCTGGAGAAGAACGCGATGAGAGTTTACCTGGACGCGAACGGCAACGAAGGCTCGTGGCTCTATATAACGCCGTTCTACAAGCTGCGGAGCAACGGCGACAGCGTTGTTGTCGGTGACAAAGTGATCCTGGAACCGGTGAACGCGGGTCGGCAGGGTCTTCATGTAGCCGCCAATTACGAGCTGAGCGACAATCCCGGCTGCAAAGAGGTCAATGTTGTGAACACGTCCACTTCCTGGAAAGTGACACTTTTTATGGAGCACCGAGAAAATCAAGAAGAAATTCTCAAGGGTGGTGATGTGGTGCGACTGTTTCACGCCGAGCAGGAGAAGTTCCTGACGATGGATGAATACAAGAAGAAGCAGCATGTGTTCCTCAGAACGACAGGAAGAACCAGCGCAACCGCGGCTACCAGCAGCAAGGCCTTGTGGGAAGTGGAGGTGAAACCAATTATGATCAAAAGAAAATAATTAATTAACAATTTTTTAATAAATGTGTGAGAATAAAAAATTCAATATAGATATTTTAAACAATTATATAAAATATTGTTTTAAATTTCGACATTTTAATGTTACGTTAAGTTTCGAATAGTCTGAGTTTTTAATTCTATTGTTTTCTCTTTTTACATATTGTTACATACATAGGTGGTGCAACACGATCCGTGCAGAGGAGGCGCCGGCCACTGGAATTCGCTTTTCAGATTCAAACATCTAGCGACCGGTCAGTATCTCGCTGCTGAGATTGATACGGACGAGCCACCAGAACGTGTAAAAGGCAAGCGCGGTATGATATAGAGTTTTTATTTTTATTTTGGGATTAATATGCTGAAATGTTGTTACATTCAACATATTAATCGAAAGCTTGATTCGTTATGGTTTTGGTTTTGATAAAAATGCTTAATATTTCACACTCAATAATATAACGGTGATTCAAACACTGTATTTTAACGACGGATTTTAATAGAACCACCTGGACCGGTCTACAGATTAGTATCGGTGCCGCACAGCAACGAGATTAGCTCATTATTCGAACTAGATCCCACAACTCTAACGCGCGGCGATAGTCTAGTACCGCAATCGTCCTTTGTTAGGTTACATCACATATGCACGAATACGTGGGTCCATTCAACAAGCGTGCCGATCGATAAGGATGATGAGAAGCCCGTGATGTCGAAGGTATTATATCATTGTTCAGCCAATTATACAATATGCGCGTCAGAAGTCTCAAGAAGTGAAATTTTAAGTTCAAAGATAAAAAATAAAAAATCATATTTTTACTCAAGGCGTGTTAAATTCTTGCTTTAAGGTGGGTTGCGCGATTAGTAAGGAGGATAAAGAGGCTTTCGCGTTGCGATCCGTATCGCCGGTCGAGGTGCGTGATTTGGATTTTGCGAATGACGCTTGTAAAGTATTGACGGCTATGAGCAGCAAACTAGAAAAGGGAACTATCTCGCACAACGAGCGGCGGGCCGTCATCAGCTTGCTGCAGGACATCGTGTACTTTATAGCCGGCTTGGAAAACGAACAGAACAAATCCGAGGCGTTAGAACTAATCGTCACTAATGCCGTGAGGGATCGTCAGAAATTATTGCGCGAGCAATATATTCTTGGCCAGTTGTTCAAAATATTGCAGGTATTTCGGAATCGGCATCGATTGCGCGAATTCCGCGCGGATAATAATATCTCAGAATACTTTAATTACAGGCTCCATTCCTGGAATCCGCGGAAGGCGAAGGACCATTTCTCAGAATAGAGGAGCTTAACGATCCGAGACACGCGCCGTATAAGTACATGTTCCGTCTGTGCTATCGAATACTCAGGCTCTCTCAGCAGGATTATAGGAAGAATCAGGTATCGCTGTGTGTTACGCGATACGATGAATTATACGAGAAGATCGAATTGTTCAAAAATTATTATATCAAAATATTTCATTTTGTTCTTCACTTAGGAATATATTGCCAAACATTTCGCGTTTATGCAAAAACAAATCGGCTACGATATTCTAGCGGAGGATACCATTACTGCGCTTTTGCACAACAACAGGAAGTTGCTAGAGAAGCATATAACAGCTGCCGAAATAGAAACGTTTGTGGGTCTTGTGAGAAAAAATATGCGTAACTGGCAGTCGAGATTTTTGGATTATCTGTCGGATTTGTGTATCTCCAACAAGAAGGCAATAGCCGTAACGCAGGAGTTAATTTGCAAAAGCGTGCTCAGCGAAAAGAACAAGGACATTTTGATAGAAACCAAGTAAGTAGTACGCGAAGCAATGTGCGAACTATGTCAATTTCTCTGATTCGTTTGAATTCACTTCAGAATGGTGAAGACGCAGATGGAAGTCGAGGATATCGATGAGAAGCAAGAAAATACCGAACCGAAAACCACAGTCATAGAGGAGTTCAACGTCATATTGGAATGGCATAATGAATCCGTTAGTATGGTTAAAAATACGGTTCATTGAAATATAATATGTGTGCAAATTGATGCGAGATGTGTGTTTAATGCAGAAATCTTTGAACGAGCTGTCACGAGGAGCGAAAATGGGAAATGCTCAGGACGCGGCGATATTAGATTATTACAGGCATCAATTAAATCTCTTTAGCAACATGTGCCTGAACAGACAATATTTAGCATTAAATAATTTGTCGCCGCATTTGGACATCGATCTTATACTCAAGTGAGTTGGGCGCTTGTTTCTCGTTGGTGGAAAACACTTTCGACTTTGTTTAACTACGCTGTTTTACCGTTTGCTTGCAGATGCATGGAAGACGAAACGGTCCCGTACGAACTGCGCGCATCGTTTTGCCGACTTATGCTGCATCTTCACGTGGACAGAGACCCGCAGGAACAAGTGACTCCTGTGAAGTACGCGCGTCTTTGGTCGGAAATCCCATCGAAAATGAGTATAAACGAGTATGTAAACAAAAAATAAGATGCACAAATATATTTATATGGAAAAAGAAACATGTTTAAAATGTTCAAAATTGCAGTTACGATACAAACAAAATGCCGGATGAAAACAAAGAAGCGGTTCGTACCAAATTTAGTTCGACGATCACGTTTGTTGAGGATTATCTCTGTAACGTGGTTGCAAAAATGTGGTCTTTCGGAGATCAAGAGCAGAATAAACTTACGTTTGAGGTAAAATCTTGATTTTTATTTCTTTGTAAAAACAAATTTATTTTTGTCTTGTATATGATAATTTTTCATTCGTTCACAGGTTGTTAAATTAGCGCGCGATCTAATTTACTTCGGATTCTATAGCTTTAATGATCTGTTGAGCTTAACAAAGACGTTGCTTAGTATTCTGGATTGCGTGTCCGAGAACGAATCGACCGATGGGAAACTACCTACGGGTGATATTGATTGTAAGTTTGATACAATTGTTTTTATTCGCTACGTTTTACGTACTTGCTACGTTTTATAAGACATAATCTACGAATTATTTTGTAACCGCTCCATGATCGAGATATATTTACGTCCATAAATCCCAGTAAGGAATATTTCATAATGAGATACTATTTCTCAATTCACTAATACATACATATATATATATATATATATATATACATATATATCACTCGCGCGCATGGTAGAAGTTTCGTAACCACAGTAAAGTTTGCCTTTCCTTGCGCTACTTTACGATCGATGTATCGATGTGTTGTGCCGACATAATATAAAATTTTCCCCGGAATTCCATTTTCAAATATTTGAGCAGGTGGTTTTACCAATTTAGTTTCATTGTATTTTTTGAAAATTTGTACATAATATTCTCTTTCGAATTGCTGTAATATATCGGTGTGTCTCGACGCTTTAGAAAGAGAAAATCTCCCTTGAAATCCCTCCCTCCTTATATATTTGGAATTATAGCAAATTATTCATAATATATATAGTAAATTGTTAAAAAAAAAAAAAAAACTAATACGCTTACTCTTGTAAATATTTCATCACAGCCGATACAGTGGATTCTGAGGAGGCAGGTAATATCCCATTAGAAAGCTTGTTGAAAGCCACTTAAATCGTGTGTGACATACGGAATGCATATTATGTGTAGCCAGAGTTTGCATGCAATCTTAAGTACTGTACAAAGTAGAAAGCTTTAATTGCTCAAACGTAAAGCGTGTTTTCACCACATTAGTGTTTCAAACATTATTTTAAGAACACAAAAAGTATATTTTTAGATAAGTAATATATAACATATTTTTAAGTAATGTAATGTAGATTATCTCAATTTAACATTTGTGAACACTATTTTATTTCATTATTTACTTTATGGGGTAAAACTTCTTTGTCTTTTGTAGCAACTAACAGAATAAAACGTGTTATTTTCTATGAAGTTTGTGTAAAAAATGATACTTTTTAACATAAATAAAATTTGTTTACTGCACTGTGACTTAAACGATATATATTTAATTATTACGTATTATCTCGTTAGTTTGTTTCATTTACTTATTGACTTCATATGAATGTGTATTCTTCATGGTATGTTTGAATAGCTGAAGGAGGCATTCTCAGATGCATCGGCGACATGGGTGCTGTGATGACGAGTTTAACATTAGGACCGGCCGGTCAAGTGCTACCAAGCTCCTCTCCAAGACCAAAGCCACTAATGAAAAAGGAATATCCCTTGGTGATGGACACCAAGCTTAAAATAATCGAAATTCTTCAGTTCATTTTAGACGTTCGATTGGACTATAGAATTTCTTGTCTCTTGAGCATATTCAAACGCGAATTCGATGAGACAGCGTCAACGGCTTCTGAGAAAACTGGAGATGTAACTCTAGGACAAAAGACCATTGATTTAGAATCAATTGGCGCGCAAGCAGAAGGAATATTCGGCAGCAGGTATAATATATTTGTGGATGCGATGAACAAGTGTCACTCTTACGAAGAAATATATATCTTTCAGCGAGGAATGTGCAGCGCTCGATTTAGACGGTCAAGGTGGTAGAACATTTTTGCGCGTTTTACTGCATTTGGCAATGCACGATTATCCTCCATTGGTCTCTGGATCTTTGCATTTGTTATTTAGACACTTTAGTCAAAGACAAGAAGTTCTGCAGGCGTTTAAACAGGTTAAATATTATCTCAATAAAAATTAATAAATTTATTGTTGAGAAAAACATTGATAGCAACGATTGTGGTTAACAGGTGCAGCTTTTAGTTTCTGATAGCGACGTAGAGTCTTACAAACAGATAAAAGCGGACTTGGATGTTTTGCGTCAGTCCGTCGAGAAGTCCGAGCTGTGGGTGTACAAGTCCAAAGCGACAGAGGAACATGGTAACAAAAAGAAAAAAAGTAAAGAAGAGGAGGACGAAGCGCCTCGCAAAGCGCCTCCCTTATCTATATCGGATAAACAAGGTTTATTTTAAAGAATTGGTTTAGTTTACAAATTTTTTATGCGAGAAATACACATGTTTCATTTATTTTTCAAAGGTTCTGCTATCGATCTGGATATCGGACCGCCATTACACGCCGATCAAGCTGAAGAATATAGAAAAATTCAGCAGATACTAATAAGAATGAACAAACTATGCATTCAAACTCTACCGGGTGGCCAGGTGAAGGCACGCAAACATGAACAAAGACTTTTGCGAAATGTCGGGGTACACACTGTGGTGTTAGATCTGTTGCAAGTTCCATTCGACGCCAAGGAAGACGTCAGGATGAACGAATTGATGCGTTTGGCGCACGATTTTTTACAAAACTTTTGTCTGTCCAATCAACAGAATCAGATTCTTCTGCACAAGCAATTGGATCTCTTCTTGAATCCCGGTATAAGAGAAGCGCAGACAGTGTGCAGTATATTTCAGGACAATTCCATTCTGTGCAATGAGGTCAGTGCGAAGGTCATACAGCACTTTGTACATTGCATAGAGACGCACGGAAAGCACGTGCAGTATTTGAAGTTTCTGCAAACTATAGTAAAAGCTGAAAATCAGTTCATCAGAAAGTGTCAAGAAATGGTGATGCAAGAGGTAACACACACTTTTTATATTATTAAAACATATGGCTCTGTGAAAGATTTTTCAACTTTATTTTTGTTTTTTTTAGTTAGTTCAAGCAGGAGAAGATGTTTTGATTTTTTACAATGATAGGTCTTCCTTCAATCATTTCGTAGAAATGATGCGATCTGAAAGACATCGAATGGATGAAAGCAGTCCTCTTCAGTAAGTTATATTTTTAATACGAGACGCGATATATTTTCGTATTTATTTATCTATTTCAACATTTACTAATGAGAATTATAAAAATTAACATGCGTGTTTCAGATATCACGTAGAATTGGTGAAACTTCTAGCTTGTTGTACGATGGGCAAAAACGTAAACACTGAAATTAAATGTCACAGTCTCTTGCCACTGGATGATATTGTGGCTGTCGTATCGCATCCGGACTGCATACCAGAAGTAAATTTATTACTTCGGAGATATTTAGAGAATTATATTTAATTATATGAAATATTAATATTTAATTATATAAAAAAATATATATATAAAAGGTATCTCTACGATTTTATAATTTGTATTTTTTTAAATCTCAGGTCAAGGAAGCATATATCAATTTTCTCAATCACTGTTACATTGATACGGAAGTAGAGATGAAGGAGATTTATACTTCTCATCATATGTGGTCTTTATTCGAAAAGTCTTTTATAGTTGATATGGGTTTAATTGCTTCGTCCACTCATGATCGGGAACACGCGGACACAGCTTTGGAGACTTACGTGACGAGTTGTTTAATGAACATCATATCTACGTTTTTCAGCAGTCCGTTTTCCGATCAGAGCACGACCGTACAGGTAATGTTCCATATTGCATTACGAGAAAAAATATTATCTTCAATGATACATATATTATATATACACACATACACAAATCTATATATTTCCTCTTTTAACTGATCTGTATGTTACAATATTTTGTCAGTATATTTATTTCACTTGTGGGTGAATATATAATAATAATCTACTGGGTCGATATATTTAACGTATTGTTCAACACTAAATTTTTATTGCAAATGTGTTCACTTTAATGGGTGAAATCTGGGAGATTCACGCTTTTAAACTTAATGTTAACGAGATTTATGTGGTGTATTTTAGCACCTTATTTTTTTGGTGGAAATTTTTTCGCACAATTTTTATTCACAAGAAAAGAGTATGATCAATGTAATCCTTGTTTATTCAACTTATTACACTATTTTCTCTTACAGAGAAAAAATTTTTACTCTAAGAAAGAGATGGCTTTACAGTCATCTACCTATGTTATATACATATATATGTTATGTATAACATATGTTACATATATATATATATATATATATATAAACACATATAACTTATATATTATATTTATATATAAATTTTATTAATTATATATTAATATAAGTTTTTTGTACTTTCTGCTTAAGAGGATTAGACAAAATGGCACAACACAGCTATAGGACAACAAACATGTTCTACTTAGCGTCAAATATACGGAGAATATACATATTGATTTTAACAATCTCTGCTTTGCATGAAAACACATAAAATTAAGTTTATTTACTGACCAAGTACACACACATGCATAAGAGAAAAAAATTTATATTTTTTTTTTCTTAGCTTTGAGAAATTATATTTTTTAGTTGAATTATAATGAATATTATTAAAAGGTTTTCCATTGAATTAATTCGCGCAACATTAGATCTCGAAATGATTAATCTGAGTTATAGTAACTTATACAATTTTTGTACGTAATTCTTCATAATTATTGATCAAACATACAATTTATATTTTTTTTATTATCAATTATTGTATTGTATGGTGTGTGCTTGGTTATTGCTGATTGCATCAGCGGCATGTTCTGTGTTTTTGGCATGCAACACCTGGTCTTCTTTGAATCAACAACGTTGGTTTATCGGGTCTATGGGTGCTATCGATCTCTATGTATGGTGGTGGGTTGGTTTACTAATAGAAACATCTGCACGAGGCTAGACTGTATTGGAACATCAAGGAGTGCGATCGGAATACAGATAATAATCTTTCTGGCGATGTGAGTATCGAATGCTAGAGTCTTCTTTTTTAAGTTTGGATAAAAAAAAATCAATCAAAATATACCCAGCAAACAATTTCTGTTTTTGACAATTTCGGCTCAGACCTTGGCAACAGAAATTGTTTGCAGAAATGCTACAATACGGAA